TTTGGTTGTGAAATTGTTTTTGCATTTGAAACAGTGGCTGAGTTTATTGCATGTACTGGTACATCATTCTGAGTCACATTGGAATTCTGCAACAACTCCATAATCTGCTGATATTGAGTCTGTGAAAGATTAACTCCTAGACTTTCTGGTATAATTGGATCAACTTCTTGATGAATTGATGCATTTGCTGCGTGTGGATCATTAATTCTTGTTCTATAGCCTGGTGGAAAGCAATGAACATGAAAACAAGTATCAACAGTATGATTTCCTTTACCACAGTGAGTACACATGCGATTGGGAGCTGAGTTTCTTCCTCCGTAGTTGAAACTTCTTCCACGATTAACAAGGCCACCTCTGCCAGATCGACCACTATTATTAAAGCCTCCTCGATTGAAAGGAACAAAGTTACGATCTCCACCATTGTTAAATCCTCCTCGACCAGAAGGAACATAATTACAATCTCTGTTGATATTCAGAATTTGAGTAGCTGCAGAATCATTAGTATGATTTTCAACTAAGTATTGCATTTCTTGCTGCACAATCATAGAAAAGACTTTGTTAACGTTCGGTAAAGGATCTATTAGCATAATCTGCGAACGAACAGGAGCATATTGCTCATTTAATCCTTTCAAGAATCTGATTGCATGATCACGTTCACGGTAATCTCGCATTTTGGAGATTTCTCCACAAACACAGGGAATTGGACAGCTACATGTTGGCAATGGCTTGAGGTTTTCAAGCTTATCCCACATAGTCTTCAGCTCAGTGAAAAATTCAGTTACATTCTTGGATCCTTGCTGCAATTTATACATTTCTTCTTGCAGATCCGATGTACAAAACAAATCAGATTGAGAGAAGCGTTCTTGCAGATCCAGCCACGCTTCTCGAGCACGTTCAATCCATATTATAGACTTTGTTATCGATTCCGAAATGGAACGATGAATCCAAGCCATAACCATATTGTTACAGCGTTGCCAGACTGGAAAATTTGGATCCTCTGTACTTGGAACTTCAATGCTTCCATCAATGAATCCAAGTTTATTCTTGGAAATCAAAGCTACTTTCATACCTCGCGCCCAGGTATGGTAATTGGCTCCTGTTAACGGAGGAGAAACTAGCACCAATGAAGGACTTTCATTTGAATGCATAAAGAAAGGACTTGATGAATCTATGGCCTGATTTGCCATTGTTGAAGAACGAAGGATTTTCAAGAAAGGAAGAAGGAAAGGAAGAAAGAAGGATCGAAAGTAAGGTTCTGAGGCAAAATACCAGAGCTCTGATTAGAGCTCTGATACCATATTGAATTTAGCTTGATCTATTAAAACTGAATGAATGAATAATAATACAAGGCTTAACTCTATATATACAAGATCAACATGATCTGATACTGATAAGAGAAACTAACAAAAGGAGCCTAATGATGCATAACAGAATCTAACTGACTCCATTAATTACTCTAACAAAATCTAACTAACTCCATTAATTACTCTAACAGATTAACTGCATTTGTTTCGTTTCTTTGATGATTAGATGGTCCACGTGGAGAATGAGTTGAGAAGGGAGTTTCACTGCTACATGGCTTTGGTACATGAGAGCTGGAACTTGTGTGTAATAGGTTAGCTCAGCAGATTATTCTACTTTCTTGAATAAATATTAGCCACAGTTGAATTGTAATAAATTGACCGTGGCTAATGTACTCTCCCAATATGCATTTTATTGCATTATTTTGATAATTTTTTTAGTTTTGAATTGTTTTAGTATTTTTTAAAAGGGAAAAGTATTTATCATTTTAAAAGACACAACTTATATCCTCTTACTCTCACAAAGAGGTTAGACCCACACCTTTATTTTTTTTATCAACTCTCTCTCCTCTTTTATCTATCTCTTTCTCTCTCTTAGAGGTCGTTTGGATTGACTTTCCAAGAAAGTCCTTTTTATCACTTTCTTATTTTAAAAGTACTTTCTATAAAAGCTACTGCTATTTTGGCTTTTGACTTCTGCTTTTTTTAAAAGCTAAAATTTTTAGCTTCAGAAAAAAATAGGTTTTTGACTTTTTTTATGACTTATGCTTTTTTTAAAAGCAGGCATCCAAAAAGAATTTTTTCGAGAAGTGCTTTTTTTTCTTAAAAAAAGCAACTTTTGAAGAAAAAAAATTCCCATCCAAACAAACCCTTAACATGATACAACTTTCTATCCTTTAAAATGATACACACTTTTCCCTTTTTAAAAATATTGAATTATAATGGACAAAAGAACATTGTTGATTATTACAACATGCTTGTTACTAGATACTTAACATGTTTTGAGAAATGAATTATTCAAATGTTTTGAGAACCAAAATGATGCACACTTTTTCCTTTACCTGAAGTAGGGGATAAGAACCAAAATAACATGTTTTGAGAAATGAATTATTCAAATGTCACGTATCAGAAAAAGTCATTTAAAATGCCACATTTCAAGATTTATTATCAGTTTCATCAACTCCAGTTTCTCAATTGTGATCTGTGTAAAGATTAATTCAATCTAAAATTTTAAGGTGTTGAATAAAGATTTTTTTAATAGTTTATTTTATTCTCTAACACCCCATGCAAGAGCCTTTTGGATTTGAAACATGAAAGTACAAACACAATTTGATAAAAAATCAATTCAACCTAAAATCTTAAAGTGTTCGGTGAGAGTCTTTTTAATTATTTATATTATTCTATAACAATATTGACAAGGACCTATTATAAGAAATAACGGGTCTAGGACCTGTTGTCTTAAATAGCAGGTCTAGGACCAGCTGTTTCTGACAGCATATCTTTGTCCAGATGATATTTGACAAAACAATAATTTAACTGTGTAAAAAAATATTGTCTATTTGTCACGTGTCGTGCGGATAGGGGCCACCGTCAGAAACAATATGTCATGAACTGTTATTTATGACAATTGATGTTCTTTTAGGTGATACATTTTTTTTGAAATGTAATATTTGGATAATTTATTTTTCAAAATGTGTCATTTTAGTCTTTGTCCCCTCCAAAATAGTTGTGAATATTCTCGGCTCGAATATGATTACCTCTTGAATACATGTGATTTATTAAAAAAAAATGTTTTACTCCTAGAAACTTTTTCAATTAATGAAAATCAATCTCCCATAATATCTGTTGTTCGTTCATTCAAATTTCGATGTCAATTAGAAGTGAAAATAAATTTTTTCATATTTTATTTTTTTATGATATGTTATATTGTTATGTAAAAAATCTCATTCATTTATAAATTAATGATCAGCAATTAATATGATCTTTTCCTGATCTATATTTTACAAATTTTATTATTAAAATCGTAATCATTGGTATGTGAATAAACAATAAAGATTTTTCACGTGAAATGATAATCTTAAAAGAAAACATGAGATAATTCATTTTTATAAGATATAATTTTGATTTTTTAATTTTATTAATAACATCTTTCATTAACTTTTACTCTAAACTACTTTTTTTAATAAATAAAATTTAACCTCTCACAATGCACGTAATGCATTTATTGAGAATTGTTAAATGAGAGGTATTTTTTTTTTTTTTTCAAACTCTTGCCGATAGTCGGCAAATCAATCCATCCTTCATCTTAGGCACAAAATAGGAACTCTTGTCCTTGAAAAGAGGATGATGTAATGCCCTTATTCTACTTTATTTCTTTTCTTCTCTTATAAATGATATTTATCGTGACCCATTAATGCTCTCATTTTGATATGATCATGGGAAAGATCTCATCTTTCATTTATAAATCAATGATAGTGAATTTTAATAAAAGAAGTTTGTAAAACGGGAAAGAAGAAATTATTATTTTAATTACTCATTATTGATTTGTGAATAAAAGACTAAGAAAATTCGTTCCCATTTGTTACCCTTTGACTCCACTGGATGTGGATTCTCGAACAAGAATACATGTAACTCTAGCTTTTATTTATCATTCTTGGTATCAACAAATTGCCTACTCGTATTACATATTAGAACAACAAAAAAAAAGTAAACAAATCTCCTCAGTAGAGTTATTTACTTATTTGAATCGAGCTCGCTTGGCTTGTTTGTTCATTGTAGCCTTGTAGGGATGCATTTATATTATAATTATAATTTAATTATTAAAAAGGGAAAATACCACTTGACAATCTCTAAAGAGATCTTAGTTCGTTTGGTACTTGTCATTCTTTTATTATTCATTTATTTTTAAGAAGAGAGACGCTAAGTGGATTAACGCTTTGTCTTAATTGCGCCTCATGTCATTGTTATCCCAAACAAGATAAATAACTTTTTAAAAAAATATTACTTTGATAATATTTTTTACCTAGAATGGTCAACCAAATTCATTATTACCTATAATTTCATATACAATTTATGCCAATGGGTTTTATTTGTGTTTGGGTCCACGTCTGACAAAAATCTGAACATGACACAAATAGAGTCTCGTATTAAATCTCCGACATGAACATTATATGAATAACTTGCTAATCTTAAATTTTTGTGTTTTTGACATTGATATGATATTACATAACACAAGTAATATACATACTGAATGTCCTTTCACCAATTAGTACTAATAATTAAACAATAACATGTAGTACTAATAATTAAACAATAACATGACATAAATAACTCACTGATAAAAACATAATTAATTATAAAAATGCGGGTTAATATCATGTTGTAAGTTACACGCAACAATACATGTAATTTTTATCACTTTTTTGCCAATTTGAATGTAAATGCGGATCAACCCAAACATGAAATTATCATTGTGTTCTATCACTGGTAAATTGCCATCCCTAATTTCATAAATGATTGTTAACCAAAAATAAAATAAAAAATAGATCTTTAGCTTAAAACAAATTATTGCATTCACGAAGAGGGAGAAAAACCTAAAGTATATTTTTGTCAAAAAGCTAATGGTGATATGGGAAAATGAGTAACTGGTCAAGATTTTGTTTTTTTAAGTAGAGGTCAAGAAATTTTCGATTCATGTTAAACATTTAAAATAAGGATGCCAATTCCCTGTAATTTTTTGGGATCCTCCTACAAATTGTAAAATTACAAAATTGCTTTTATATATATATATATATATATATATATATATATATATATATATTACACATACGCATATACATATAAATTTATGTTTTTCCATTCAATATTACCATAAATATGCAATGCAGGTAGCCATCGCTATCTCCCCATTTGAGTAGGAATAACTGTCTTGCAGACCATACCAAACTACACCAACTAGAAAAAGAAAAATATTGCAAGACCAGAAAACATTAGGAAGAACTCTGTAGGCGTGCCTTGATCCATAACTCAAGATATCGCAGCTCCTCATTGCTTATAGAGTGGGCAAGACCAGGATAAGCCTGCAATTAGAATAAATGTCTATATCATGATGAACACGAGGGTCAATGAACCAATTATTGAAGTGTTGTAAACTTGAAATATCACCTTAAACTCACAGCTAACACCAATTTTTTCAAGAAACGGGGGACCTGCTTGTCCGGCCTTGAACAAGACTGTACTATCGACCATCCCATGAGACCATAATATAGGTGTCTGCAGATATTTATTGTATACAACGTCAGTATAAATAAAGGAGAAGGATCCGTTTACAAACTTTTTTTACAAATTACACTAAGTATGACCGATCGTACACTTTTCATTGAAGTATGACCGATCATACTTAGTATAGTTTGTAAACAAAAAATTTGTAAATATAACATTTCCCATAAATTAAATAGATAATAAGTACATATCAGATGAGTGAAATAGTAATTGACACTGTCTATGTAAATTATAATGCCTTAAAAATCTCAATACCCCATTGATTTATACCGAGTTATTCTGGGGTCAGGCTCATGCTTCATATGAAAAGTGGTTATCATGACAAAAACAACTTGAGATTGTGCAGTGTCATTGTTCCAAGGAAAATTCTATATCAGCCGAACACAGGTCCCATTGAGGACAACCACATGACTGCCATCTTTGCTTGACCGATGATGAAAATAAAAAATCCATGAAGTTCAAGGTGGTGTGGTTTTGTCGGTACATATATAGCACACCTCTTGTTCCACAGATAAGGTTTTAAAAAAAAAAATATTTCCAGCTAAACATTTTATAGCCTATGTGTTTGAGATGCAGAAGGAAGTCTTTGTTTCCTTTTAGGCCTATGCTGTTGGGATTCATGCTTCTTTAAATCACAACTAGACATATTGCATCAAACATTGCATCATGTTGAGAAAAACCTCAAACAAACAAGCTCTTGATCTAGAGGCAGTGAGTTGTGAACCAAGAGAAGGGACCTAGTTCGACTAAGAGGAAGTATGACAAAAAAAGGAGAGGGAATAAGATGGGACATAATGATATTCTTGTAGATTAGTACCCGCTTTGCCTCAGGTGTAATTTGTTCTATAATAGATGAATTAAATGGAACCCAGCCACTAAAGACTGCTCCTCCACCTAAAGTTTTTGGGTACAGTAGAACACTAGCCAAGGTCAAGGCACCTGCAAAACGTTGTCAACATTATCAAGATGTTTATACATTTTCTTTTCTTTTAAGGAATTGGTAGGAGTGAAGAGAGATGTACGCATATATAAACACAGACATGCATAGACACATACAGAGACAGAGGAAGCAAGAAAGAAACCTCCTTGACTGAATCCGCAGATAAATACATTGTTAGGGTTTGTGCCGGTAGCTATTTCCTTGTCTATGAGAGCATGCACATTCCGAACAGCTTTAAGCAAACCATTCTCGTCTTTTGGAGAATCCTGAATACGTAAGCAAAATAGTTTTCAACATAAATCGATAAAATCAAGTGATCAATAACTTCATCCTGAACAAGATAAAATATAAGCACGCCGATCTTAGTAAATATTAAGAACTTATCTCTTGACTCAATTGTGTAACAGGGAAAAACTGAAAGTTATATGACTAAATTATCTCTTAAAAAATGGATGACTCAAGTTTCTCAGCCTGTACACTTAAATTTTTTCGTTCATAAAGTTAAGTGAGCTGATAACTGGAAAAAAAAACCTTCTATAAACTTGTTACATGACATTGAGAAGATATGGTGTGACTTCTGATACTTAATACAGAAAAAAGATCGTGTTTATAATCACATGCGATTTAGATAAGGAGGCACACTGGTGGGCCCCAAATAAAAGAAGGGTGTAACTTGCATTGCACAGAAATTGGCAACTTATATAGGGGTAGGACTAGCCAAGGACAAAAAAAAATGGGGAAGATTTATATATCGATGGCAGTATGCATAATAATATATGACCAACTATCAATAATTCAATATGTATATCTGAGACAGAAGGTGGGGTGAAGTTTATACTTTATTCCAATATTATGTTGCCAGTCCACAAGATTATCGGCAGATTAAGTATTATGATATGGTATGGCAGAAAATAAATATGGAAGAATACATGTGAGGAAGAGGTGTAGGGGATTAGAAGACCCACATGCACAGCATATGTTAGAATTAAAGGGTGATTCATATTGGGGGATGGAGGGAAAGTTGGTTAGAGGAGTCACATTATTTGCAATCAGTTTGTTATAAATAGAAAGGGGAAGACTGAGGAAGGATCATCTAGGAAAGTTAGGACTCATGGGCTCTTGGGAGAGAACCAGAACCTCTGGGCAATAGTTACCATTTAGATCTTTTTCTTCCATTTTATCTTTGTCATCTGTATTTCTCTTTTACTTGCTCTGTAATTTTCCCTTAAACATCATATTGTAACACAGTGTTAAGGTTCAGAATTATCAATCCACGCTTCTTTCTTAATCTTTTTCCCTTCTTTGCTTTGGTACCTAACATATTATTCACTTGAGAACTCCAACGAATTCAGGTTATTGTCAGTAACTCAGTACATCGAGGCATTAGCAAACAAACCATTATGAAGGCTAATACAGAAGAGAACTCTGCACATTCCATGATTCTTATTTAGTTAACACCAACATGAAAAAATTACAAAAGGGTGATGATTTACACAGAATCATGCTCACTGCCAAGTAGACATGTGGATTCTATCACAATAAAATACACATACTCCAAATTTACTTTCTGAAGGAAATCTGCAACATAGAAAAAAAGTGGGAGAATGGAAATATAAAAAAGCAACGAGGATTGCTATTGACTGATAAACTGTACATTATTTTCCTTTCAAGATTGACACTACAGCAGTGAAATTAAAAAAGAAAAAGAAAAAGAAAAAAAAGTACTTTTTAAAACTAAAAATCAAAGAGAAGAAGGAAAGCTGAACTCACAGCTGTCACAGGAATCTCATGAATGTCAAACCATGAGGGCATTTCATGGCCATCTACACGAAGAAACAGATAAATATATTCATTAGCTTTCATAGTGAAAAAGCATGTGGTATTTTAACGGAATCATATCTACAACACCACCGGATGCTTTTAAATTTGGTTGGATGCACAGTTAAATATACAAAACAAACAGAAAATTCAAGAGAAAAACAATAGAAGAATAGGAGGAGATATAATTATACAGAACAGATAGAATACAAGCAATAATAAATTGATAGAAAAGAGAATAATTAGGACTTACAGTTGCAAGTGACTGGAGAGGAAAGCGCAGAGGGAAAGAACCATTTGGTGTTGGTGAATTCGGGGGAAGTGAATAAGGTCTTAATGGGTTCGTTGGCAGGGCCTGAGTCACCAAGACCGTGAAGCCACACAACAACGCTTCGAGACATCTGATTCTGCTCTCTCTCTCTCTCTCTCTCTCTCTTTTTGTTGGTTTGATCACATTCTCAGCTAAGGTTCTTCTCAATTTTGATAACCAGATATGTGAAAAGTCTTTAACTACCCTTCTCTTTCGTCAATTCCATGTTCTTATTCCTATCTCCAATTGTTTTTTTTGTAAACCCAGCCCATCTGAATCATCTGACAACTCCACATGGGTCTTGCCCAACCACAGCGTTCCAACATCCTCGTATAATAGTATTTGGTTTGTTTTTTATTTTTTCGAAAATATGATGTTTCTTATTTTTAAGGTTTTGTGAAGAAAATGTTTATTTTCACTATTTTTTTGGCATAAGTATTATAAACAAGAATTTCTACCAAAAAAAAAAAAACAAGAAATAAAGTAGAAATAAAATGAAATTTTAAATATTATAAGTGAAAAGAGATAAGTTGAAAATAAAAATGATAAAAATAAATAAATTTAACCAAATCTCAACCTTCACATCAAATTTCTCTAACAAATCCAAATAATCTCTATTTACCGGACTTCTTATAAATCCATAAAACATCGATTCAAGAGCTTAAATTTAGAAGTGAACTCCATCAATAGTTTTTATATATTATATTTCTTTAATATATCTTCTCACGCAATAATTTTTGGGTTTAAAGTATGAATATTGCACAAATCTATTTTTTTAAATTTTACCTTGTGCTGATTTAATTTCAATAAAAAATAAAAGCGGTGAGTAGTAATCTTTGTAATCATCGACCATGTAAAGCAACTATTACATCTAGAAATTTAAACTTTTGAATTAAACGAGTTATTTATCATATTATCAAAGCCATGGTGACTACAGACTCATACTATAATAAGAAAACAATTTAATTCAAGATCTTAAGCTTAAAATAAAGACAGATCAATAATTTATATATTATATCTTTTTAACATAAATCGCGGGAATCTTGTGTTTACCATAGATACTTTTGATTTCTCAGTCACATTTCTCAAATGGAGGACACTCAGAAGCACGTTTGATAATGTCCTAAAATATTTGAAAAGAAGAAAAACAATAAAGAACAAAATTACCACCCTTGATCGTTTTTTTTGTTAAAGAGACAGGGTCAGACACCCAAGCAACAAAAGAAACTACACACATTTCTATAAAAGAGTACATTTGCCATGTCAAGAGACACCAAATGGACAAGGAAAGGTGCCACCCGATGATGAACAAATAATTCAGCTGGTTTGAAGCTATCATCAATTTCACAATAATGAGCCAAAGTAAGAGCATTATCTATTGACCACAAGTTCACAGCAGCTTCTTTTTTTAATCTTCCTAGAAATTCACAACTTCGTTTTTCTCCATTTAATTTTGGATAACTGAACATAGGTTATCTTGCTAGGTTGTGACAGTTCGCAATGCAGGAGGAAACCATATTCATGATTACTCTAGTAATATGTAATGTACTTACGATATAATTTTTAGAAAGTTGTGAATTTGGAGTATAAAGGATTTTTGTAACTGCATAAAGCCTCACAAATTCATGTTAGCTCCCCAAAATTGATTCTACAGTGTTAGAATTCATGAAACTGATTTTGAGTTATCTGGCAAGTTAAAACTCATGGCAGAATGCATTTTAATCCCTCAGACAGAACAAACATCAATTCTTATTTCTTCTAGCTAGAATGAGTTTCTAACAATTTGGTAAAATTTACTGACGTGCCACCAAAAAAGCCACATTTGTACAATAATTTAAGGGGTTGGTATTTCTTCTTAAAATTGATGATAATTTTATTTCTTATATACATGAAAATGAATAGAGTTCAATTAAAAGAAGAGAAAGAAAGAGAAAAAATAAGATATTTATTTTTATGTATTTATAGGAGATAAAATCATCTCCTATTTGCAGAAAAAATATTAACCCACAATTTAAATATTTATTTTTGGAAATTTCACTCTCAAGTAATTTAACCCATCCTAACCAAACAGGAATCATTTTTACAATGTTATTTTTAGCAATCATTTTTTTTTTTTTTTTTAAAAAGGACTATAGCTTGGGTGAGCAATGAATTTAAGTGCCAATGATCACTTATTAACTTCCTCGTTCGCTCTAATTCAAGTCTGAATTATCATAAAAAAAAAAAAAACGAGAATATTTTATAACCATCAAATAAACTATTCACTTTTTTCTGCGACGATATTTTAGCTTTGCTTAGCTATTGATTTTACCAATTTGCCCCAAACCTAACATAGGTCAACGTGAGAGGTAGGTTGACCGGGTTTGAATCACGTGTCGCGCTTTGATTGACTAAGATTGTGGAGTCGATCTCATCCATCCGTAGATGACTGAGCTATATATTATAAATAATAACTTTTCATTCTTTCTTTGTCGCAGTAGCAGAAGCTGTACCCGTTTCGCGTTGAATCGAAGGTAAGAAGAAGAAGAAGAAATTTCAATTCATGGCGGCTTCAAAGCTTCAAGCTTTATGGAATCACCCAGCTGGGCCTAAAACCAGTGAGTTACTTCGCTTTTTGTTTTATCGAATCCTTTCGTGTTTTTCTTATATATTTGTCGTTTTCTCTTCGAATGGCGCTTCGGATCTTCATTCCTCAGTTGTTGATTTTTCAATCCAACCCATTTGGCTTAGATTAGAATTGCTGATTTAATGTTTTGTTGAAAGGTCATGTGCACTGTTTGGTTTATAACCTAAGTTTTTTTGTTTTTTAATAGTAAATATTTTTTTTTGGTCCTCAAAAAACTTCACGAAGTCCTCTTTAGTCCCTAGTAAATAAGAAGGTTTAGTCTCTAACAAATAAAAAGGCTCACCGTGGTTTCTAAGAAATTCAAAATGGACCCATCTAGTTGAAATTGACCCATTTAGTTGAAATTGAGGTACTCATAAATTCAAAAAAAGACTCATATTAGTCCCTCGTAAATTCAAAAGGACTAAAATGAGTCCATTTTGAATTTCTTAGGGACCACGATGAGCCTTTTTATTTGCTAGGGACTAAAGGGACACTGTCAAATTTGATGATCACCAAAAATGATATTTACTCTATTTTTAATTAACTTGATATGACTTTGGGCCTTACCTTGAGAAAAGAAAAAATGGTCTTTTTTGGTTGTTAAGGGTTACACAAGTTTTACTTAGATGTTGTGGATTTGTGGGATTCGTTTATTAGTCTCTGTCTTATTTCATTTTACTCGAGTATATTGCTTGGTGTGTTTATCCAAATCAAATTTATCTTGATGGACTTGCAATCTCTACACGCTTCATGCCTTGGGGTTTTAATTGCATCATGAAATTAGTTATTATCAAAAAATCAAAAACCATACAAGGAAAATGTTGGAAGTTCAAGGAGTGATGGTTGCATAATGAGGGCCTTTTGGAGAGAAGTTAATTAATATTTATATATGTTCTGTGCAACTATTGAGATTCGGATGTTACGAAGTACTAACTGAGGTTAGATTCAGGTGTTGAGACACAACTTTGTGATTTATCAACCAACTTTTGAGAGTAGCTTCAATTTTAACAGACCTAAGAGTATATTGGTGCTTATATGGATGTCCTTGAATAGCTGTGAATATGTTTTCTTAAGTAATGACTTAGGTTTGAATATTTGACACCATATGTCCTGTTAAAAGATTTTTAGAATCAGTGGCATTCTTAATCTCCAAGGACTCAAAACTCCGGTCTTATTTCTTGTGTATTAAGTGCTAGCATTCCTTATTAGTCACCAATGTTGTTATTAAGTGTTAGCATTGTCATTTTCAACCTATATCAATTCATAAATTAACCATTTATTTTATGCAGTTCACTTCTGGGCACCTACGTTTAAGTGGGGTATCAGCATTGCCAATATTGCTGATTTCTCTAAACCACCTGAGAAACTTTCCTATCCTCAGCAAATAGGTAGGCATGTGCATATACAACTGCATTTACTATTATGTATTATGGACCTCTCACACACACATGCTCACGGGTGCGCACCCGCATGTGTTTTTGCTCGTCATTCACTCTTACTGTCTTACATACATGTGCATGTCTGGATTTCTTGAAAGGTACAGACGTGCACAAGTGGATGGGTTTATAGAATGCTGTATTCAAGTTGCAAGCAGTTTTAGCATATATTGTCATGTTTTGGGTTTTATTTACATCTATAGGTTGCCGATGCCTTTTGTTTTTTACACAGCGGTCACAGCTACTGGACTTATCTGGTCACGTTACAGCACTGTAATCACTCCAGTAAGTTTGATTTTTTTAAAGACAGATTGCTCTTAACTATTTCAGCCAATAATGATGTATATGTCGACAATGAGAATGATGTATAGACTTTAAATGCAAGCTAAATTTTATAATTTTGCTTCATCACTTACATGATATGTACATAATTCTGGTTTGTAATTGCATAGTTCTCTTTTCCTGCATTGCAAAAGTATGACTTACTTGGCTTGTTGGTTATATGACATCAAATAGGTTGTGACGTGGTACTTTTACTATGCAATTTATTCTTGTTTTTCATGGTCTAATTAAGTGATGAGATAAATAATATAGTTCTTTTGGACATTTATTATTTTCTCCATTATCCTTGGTGTCGCATAGTGTTTCATCTTTTGTATGCTTTCTCTGAATTTTTATTGTATACCAAACAACTCCCCTATGTGTGTGTGATAACTGTTCACTCCGAGTGGATCGTGAATGTGTATGACTGAATGTCACTAATAAATCTAGGATCTGTACGCTCGTGGTGGTCTGTGGAAGAGACTCCGTAAGGGATGACAGATCATTGTATACTATGGTGGAGGTGCAAGGCCAAAGGTGTGGGATGTGTGTACAGTGACAATTACTATAGTAGGGTTCGAAGAGTGTGTACATAAGAGGCTTAATCCATTATTTATAGGTGGGGTTACTTGTAGGTGAAGAATCCTAATGAGGGTTAAACTGTTGGGGAGATAGGATAGTGGATTATATATTTTATCTCTTTTGCTTGTCACTTATCTTGGTCAGTTGCTTCTAGAAGCTGTGGGACCCGCTATGAGGGTCCAGAACAATAACCATCTCTGCCTAAATTTTAAATTTACATACCAGGCTCAGTGTATAACTTGAAACATACATACAAGAATTTTGATCTCTTAATTAACACAATGACATTTAGGACTACTTTTTTGCTTGACAATTACTTTCTGAACTTTTGTTTACTGATCATAATGGCTAAAGAGAAATAACAGTGGGAAAAATGAAAGCTACTTTATAGATTAATTTCTGAGTTATTATCAAGAACATAGCTTTCTTTTTTGCTTCTGGGTACAATACAATTTTGCATAATCCAGATACATTTATGGCAATTATTTTCTTTTTTGCAGAAAAATTGGAACCTATTTAGTGTTAACGTTGCAATGGCAGGGACAGGCATATACCAACTATCACGCAAATTGCGGTGAGTGATATTTATCATTATTTATTTGAGTTGTGGTACCATTGCTACTTTGTGGCCTAGTTTTTATGGGTTTTAGTCACAGAAACAAGACATTTGTGCATGTGGGGGGGTTAAGGTTGTGTACATCTAACTCTTCCCAGGCCCCAGCATAGTGGGAACCTCATACATTAGCCGTACTTTGTTTTATCAATAATTAATGAAGTTTACTTTCTTGAGTGTATTGGGTCTAATTGATCAGAATATCAAATCTTGATATTTTCCTCAAAATTTAAAATGTTGGCAATAAGTGGGAAGAAATACATTTACAAGATAAATGAAACTCTGCCTTATGTTTTAGATTATCTTTGGGTGATAACCTACGCTATATTTTGGTACTGTTGCAATGATTGTTGTTGGCACTAGACATGCATCTCCATGATACATATATTTAACTTACGCTACTTTCCAGGCATGATTATTCCTCAGAGGCAGCTGCTGCAAAAGAATGACGACGAAGAATTTGAAAATCATAAGTTATTGTGTATTTGGAGTCGGATGCCCTGATTGTAATTCAAACTGTTAAATCATTCTCAAGTTTGTGTATTTTGCTACAGTATTTGATTGTTAATAGAATAAGGGACTCAAGATAAGTGGGCAATTAAATGTTACAGTTCTAATGGGCGTCTCGATACTTTTTATTATCATTATAGATCCATAGCTCTTCAAGCTATTACATTCGCTGTTTATCTGCAAATTAAAGTGGTTACCATTACTATTAGGTCTTCAAGCTATTACATTCGCATTTAATCTGCAAATTGAAGTGGTTACCATTACTATGCTCGCCAGTATGTGCTATTGTAGATGGGTTGAATATTGCCTAATCTTCTAATCTAAGAGTGAAGGATTCAGTTCCAGTACAGAATAACAAATTTAGACTCGGAAGTTGTTAAACTGGTTGGACTAAATAAAATCAGTAGAATATGTAGATTAATATGGGAATTACTGAAAGTTACGAAAGTGGGAGAATCCCCAAGCATATGTGGACGATGATGAAATAATATAGCATATGTACAGAAAAATGGGTCATTACTGTTCTCTGTCTACATATTCGAAGTGGCTGACATAATTAATTGTTTTTCAAGTTTATTAGACAGTCACTCTGTACGCATAAAACTAGAAGATATTGCTTTTCAAGTTTATTATACTGTTACTATATACATATAAAATTAAAAGATGAAATAAATTCGCTAACTTTAGTAGTAAGTACAGTGCACAAAGAAAAATGGTTCTACCGTAACCACAATGAGGTACTCAATCGCACAATTTCATCAAGAATGTTGTTTGAATTAAACAAGAAAAAAAAATATTCATTTTAGCTCCAGCTTCTAAGTCCAGGATGTCCTATCTCAATAAATATCAGGGGGGCAAAATCTGTCCAAGGATGGGAAAAGGTATATTTTTTGTTCCCGCAATACATATTACAAATTACAATTCAGTCCAGCAAGGACACTTGAATAATAATAATAATAATAATAGAAAAATCAATACTTTTGGCATATGCCGTCACAATAATCCAACCTAAATTAACCAGTGGGCGTTCCCTTTCATCAGACAAATGTATAGACCGAAGCATTTATGTTCTCACTGTCCAAAGAGAATCATGAGGCCCCTGTTCATATACCAGTAACACTTAGTTCACCTTGCGTCACTGGCCATCTCTTGTTTGATTAGTTTTCGAATCAGAATCATGTTCGTCATCATGTGATGTCAAGCCCAAACTTAAATCCAATGTACTTTCATTTAAATCTTGACGTACTACTTGATTTTTGTCCTGAGACTGAAATATAAGACCAAAGTCAATATTGAAAATAAAATTATAAAAAGAAATTAGATCAAGTAGCTCATTAGTCACTGCTGTGGAGTGTGGACTTTAAATTGAGTTTGGGCAAAGACAAGTTTGGGATATGTAGATTACTAAGTTACATGATAGTAATGTTCAATCCATAACTTTTCAAATTGCATAATGCATTAATGCTTGTTTGGACCACATAACTTGTCCGAAGTCCATAAAGACAGATGAGAACCATCATTATCTAATTTTAACTGCAGGAATGGTGCCTTTTCATCAATTTATATCAGCCTAGTATAGATTATGGATTGCAGTTATTACTTTCTAGACAATACTTCGGAAGCATGGAAGAATATGCGAAAAAACAAAAAGTAAATGAAGAGACAAGCAAAGTTCACCTGACTTTCTTCCATCGGAACATCATTTATGTCAGGTTTTTCATCCAAAGTCTCATTCTTGTGAGTTGGTTCAGCTGCACTTGCATCAGCATCCATAGGTTTAGATTCATCTTCAACCTTCTCAGCACCCTCATTTTCTGCAGCCTCATTTCTCTGCTCCTCTAGTAAAGCAACCTGCATCATCCAAAACACCAGATTACTTCGTCTTCCCAATCCTCATTACCAATTAACAGAAAAAACCAGTATTAATTCATTATCATCAACCAAGTCTAATCAGAACCAAAAGCAGGAACACTGAAATGATTCCTCGACAGTGTGAGTGTAACAAAGAGGACTTCAAGTACACCATGGAACACAAACTCCAGCTAGTCAATTATATTTATTATTGTTGAAAACCACAGTTTTGTGATAATTTTTAACAAAGATCATATGTATAATACTATTGAATTTGAAAGCAAAATCACTGGTGATTCTTGTTCTGAGGGGTAAACTCTACCTAAGAGCCAGAGAATGTGTTCATAGAGAATATGACAAACACCATTGAAGGTTGCACATATCATCTCCAACAAAAGTGTGAAGTACACAATGCAACACTACAAGTCTACAACAGTACAACACAGACAAAATCCCAGGATTACGCCTAGGTATGTGATATGACTCCACCCAAGATGCAGGTCAACCGTATGAAGAAATTCAGGGAGTTATGCACCTTTATTGCTGACTCAGCAAAGAAAGAAAAGTTTGTTATGGAAAATGGTTAAGAGGTGTGAGACAACATGTGTTAAATGCGGAGGGAATTCTGAAGGAATATGACATTTTAGGCATTGAAGACTTTGGGCTTGGTAGAGACCATAAGCTCTCCAATTCTTCTGGGAATTTGTTTTCTGTTTATCCTTCTCCCTTACTGTTATTTCCATTTCAGCATTTGTCTCTTGAGTTATCTGTCCTGTAGTTTGTCACTGTTATCACTTTCATGGTCAAACCTTGTTGTTAGTTCCAGTAATTTCAATACAGATTTGAGGTTTTCTTATAGATCCATCTCTTTTTTAGTTTCTGGTTTGTATCAGTATGTGATCAGCATCCAATCCAACTATTGTTGAGAAACAAAATCACGTGAAAGCATCATTAACGAGAGGAGACAGATGACTCTTTGACAGCCAATCTGTGGCTAACTACATTAATAACTCTACTCTGAAATTATATCAGTGATGCAGTATTGGCAAACCACTTTCTTTAGATCTAACAAACTAAAGATGCATCAGGATGGTTAAAAGTAGAGTGATCCCCCATTTTAGTCCTCAAATGATTTTCAGAACATCAATTTGGTTCTCGAATAATATCTTTTGACATGAAAATAGTCCAGAAGTTATCAAGTTACTGTTTACCGGGACCAACTTGATATTATTTGAGGACGAAATTGATGTGGCTAATTTTTTGAGGACTAAATTGGGGGTTTATGGTTTAATAGAATTATTATGCTTGTCTTAACACACTAAATATACCATTACCTAAAATAATATTAGAACAGACAAAAAAGCTTAACCAGGATATTCTACCAATAATCCTACAAGTACAAACATTTATCAGGAAACGAAATGATATTATCAGCTGTTCAGAAAATGAGATCAGCTATCCCATAGATGTATTCAACTAAGAACCACCTGCCAACACAGGAAGCTGAATTACCCCCGCCCAAAAAAAGAATACATAAGTTGAAGAGATAGATCAGGATATCTACAAGTATAAACACAATAACGAATTACTGAAAAATAGTTTGGCTGTGGGTGAATAGTTCTGCCAAATAGATCCTCTTTTCCCATTAGACTCTATCTAAGGCGACAACCTGCTTTGCAAAGATATCCTTCCTTTCCACTTCCACCAAAACAGCCCTGGTTTCCCTCCAACACTCTTTGGTTCTCATTTCGTTTTCCTTTTTCATAGAACTCTGGTTCTGATATTTGAATCATGTCACTTACTTTTATCATACAAGTTCCATACTTGCATTCATCATGTGTTATTTTCCAAATCCTATCCTCAGTCAAAACCACCACCACTTTTTGATAGGTATTCTCCTTAATTACCTTTATTTTGTTACCACTCAGACACTTTTAGCACAGGACTTACCATATTTCCATCTTGGTGCATTCATAGTTTCATTCTAGAGTGAATTTCATTTCTTAAACAAAGAACTTGCACACTTGAAGGTTAATAGAAGGCGGGACAAAAAATTATAAACCTTTTTTCTTGTTACTGATTCTAGCTTCTTAAAACTTTTGGCCAACTGTATCCCAAGCAGTACTGCAGAGTAGGTAGTTTCACATGATGACATTTGGGAATATGAATATCAGCCAGCTAATCTACACCCCCAATATTATTTCTTGGAGTTTCCTATAACAAAAACTAATTGGTTCTTATACTTTTGTCATCTGGAAAGCCACACACAAAAAAAAAGGCATTTTAGTATTTTACTAAATAACGAGAGAAAAATTGATCTTAAAAAATAAGAATCCTCACAATTCTTATCTTTCTTCCTTTTCTCCGTCGGTTTTAATCACACTTGAAAAACAGATTCTATGAGGTATATGTGGAAGAATGATAAATACCCTGTGCTACCTAATTCAGTCGAATGTCAATTCCAATCAAAATTATATCTTGGAAAATTTGAATACTCTCTCTCTCTCTCTCTCTCACACACACACACACACATGCACAGGGAGTAATATATGGCTCAAGTTTAATTTAAAACTCTTATCAACATAATTTAGTCCCATAATATCTTGATATCTTCAATATATATAAATCTAAACCAGAAAACTAGGAAGCTGCGGTAAATGACCAGTTATTTGTAATTTCATTGCTCCATTATTTTCTTATTATCTTCTAAATAAAAATACAATTAAAAAATAAAAAATAAAAATGGAATGACCATATGAAGGCATATCAAGACACAAGTTTTAATAATGCTTGAAAAATAAAGGACAACAAGAAAACAAGTAATGCCAAATAAGACCCAATTTATCAGGATATCCAATATTGTAGTCCTTACATTCCAGTTTAGCCAATGTGAAGTACGCTTCAAGTGCATATTACTTGGGTTACCAACCACAGAAATTGAATTTGTCCCCCAAATTTGATGAATTTGAGAAGGGGGAGGCTTATGTTGTAGTTGCTGTTGTTGATGAATTTAAGAAAATTTAAATGCAAAAATTGACAGAAATACGAAACTAACTATTCAGCCACGGAAAACCAACGAGGATCCACAAGAACATATTTGATAGCATCCTTGCACAAGACTAATAACATATTTGGTGGACATAGGTGTAAAGAACCACTTCAACCCAAAACCTTAAGGTGTTAGGTGAGGGCATTTTTAATGGTTTATATTATTCTCACATCCCCTCACGCAAAGAGCCCTTTGAGCTTAAAGCGTGAATATTCAAAGACCCAATTTTTGGTTTACCATTACCTTGTGTTTATTTAATTCCATTAGAAAGTTGGGGATTGAACTTGTGATCTCGTGACTATTGAAGCTCTGATACCATGTAAAAAACCACTTCAACCCAAAACCTTAAAGGTGTTGGGTGAGGGTCTTTTTAATGGTTTAATTATTCTCTAAAACATTCAGCCGCACCCAAAATGCATTTTTTCAGCCCTTAAATCTATACATATTTTTGGTATGCATATGCAGAACATTTGGTTGTGGCACATTAACTAAGCAGGGCAACACATATTTTCAACGCATTGATAAAAAGAGAAAAAAAGAAGAAGTCCTCTTTAATGCACATTGCCATTACCATACAAATGCTTTTTTCATCTTGGTCCCGAAAAGGAAAACCAAGCTCATAAAACCCTAGTCTAAACTCCAAATCCTAAGCACCAAATCTTGTTATGCTTCTCTCAATTCATCGATAAAACCCTAGTCTAAACTCATGAAAACACAATCAAGATTCAATCCAAGGCCAATAAAACAAAAGGAGTGCATTGTAAACGAAATACCGGAACATATTTGAATTTCCTCCGAGGTGGCTCTTCCGTTGGTGGTGGTGGTTCCGCAGCCGCAGCGTCCTTAGTGTTACCATTACCGTTGGTGTTGTTGGCGTTGGTGTTCTGGCTTTGGGTTATAGGGGTCCATTTGTAAAGAACAAGATGGGAACCGTTATTACCGTTAGAAGTGTGATTGTGACTGTGATTGTGATTGTGATTGGTGTTAGAATTAGAGGAAGCAGTGGAGGGCGAAACGTGAACCCATTTCTTCTTCCACTTCCTCACCGGTCCAGTGAACACAGTGGCCGGTCCGTACCGGGTTGAGGATCGCCCGAGTCGGGCCCCAACTCCCTCCATCTCAGATCTGCCGGCACTGACTCAGGTGGTGACTCGCTGAGCCCTCCGATTCGCGTTACCAAAAAGTTGTTATTTTTTAGTAATAATTGGAGTTTGGATTTGGAAATTCTCTCTCCCTCTACAAAACCCTTTCTTTCTCTCTCTAAACGCAAAGTCTCTTTTACATAATATTTATAAAAGTGAAAAAAGAATAATAGATATGTTTCATAATAATTTTTTATTTTATTATTTCATTTTAAAAAATATTGAATTATATCATATCTACTTAAAAAAAGAAAATTACGGTTCCTTTCCTTTTTTTTGGAAAATTTTCTTCTCATATTAATATTTAATTATACTGGTCACTTCTTATCCATCAGATTGGAAGAAGATGAACGGCCATGATCTGTTCTCAGCCCAGAGCTACATGCTGACTATAAATACAGAGCTAGACCCCTTGTAAAGCCCAAATGTTTTCTAGGGTTAGGGTTACAGATGGGGTCGTTTATGCCTCTTGAGTTAGCAGCCACAATTTCTGATTTCCTCAAATCTTTCAAATTTTCTGGTTGTTCATCGTTCTTTCTGAAATTCTTGGTTATGAGTTTATCTTTTTGTGGGGAGGCTACATGTACCAAGGGAAGGGTGGAAACGAAATAACCAGTACCCTTGATCTTGAATGTGCCATAGTGGCTGTAGCCAAATGAATTCGATTAGAGAAGCTATCTGGCCGGTTGTTGTGAGATCCATTTTGGTTCTCTGTCAACAAATCTGCTTACCGAGCTTCTTACATTTCATTTACTCTGTTCCTTCCAAAGTTCAATTTTTATTTTGTTTTATTTTTTTTTTAGTTTGTTTCACCGTTTTAATATTGCGATGAGAAGGGGAGAAGAGGGAAACAAGCCTAAGATTTGGCTTTTTTCGAAGACCTTTCTCTTACATTGAAAACTTTTTTTTTTTTTCTGAAAAGGGTCACTTTCCAGGCAATCTGCTTTGTTTTATCAGCAGCTTGCGTCTAACAGTGCCTACATTTACGTATTCTTTTGATCTGAATAAATTTAAATTGTTTGTGAATCTCAGCCAACTTGCGGCAATGAGAAAAAAACACCACTTTTTGTAGTTGCAATTTTTATGTCTAAATCTAAGGGCTGTTTGGGAATTGGAAAACAAAAATATAGTGTTGAATCAATTTTAGCCATTGTGATACTAACAACAAAAAAGTATGTAAAAAAAAGTACCAAAATAATCACTTGCAATGGGTAAAATTGAGGGAGAGAGACAGGAGTCTTGACTTACTAATCATAAAAAAAACTGGAACATTATCTGGCTTAAATGTAAATTTTCAGATTTTTTTTCTGACAGTGTCATGAAAAGATGGATTGAAAATGTAAATTAGCTTCTGGTGTGTTATGTTGGCTGTTTTGGAAAGAGAGAAAGTATTCAACACAACTAGCATGAGACCTCAAGATATCTGACACCAGGCCCTTGTGACAATTAGAAACATTGAGCAAGCTGATGATGTGCTGTTATCTGCTGGGTAAGCCCCAAAACCAGCAATAGAAACTTTGATCAGATGGAATTTTCCTCCGGTTGGTTGGCTAAAGATAGTGGCAGCAGAATGGCTTGTGGAGGGGTCATAAGAGATAGGACTGGGGAATGGCTTACTGGTTTTTCTAGAAGATTGGGTCAACAGACAACTCTATTAGCCGAGCTTTGGGGTTATCTTACTGTCTAGAATGGGCTTAGAGTCATGATGTGAGGCAAATAATCTTGGAGGGGGATTCTGTTGATGCGCAACAGCTGGTTACTAAGACATGTGACCCCTGTCCCCTCTCATCCGTTTTTCTTTTTGATTCAGAGGATTAAAGGTCTGCTAGCTAGACCTTGGAGAGTGGAGGTGGTTCATGTCCATAAAGAGGGGAATAAAGTGGCGTATTGGATGACTACTCATGTTAAAATATCTGATTGGGAAACTATTTGGTTTGAGATTCCTCGGAAGGGTGTAAAGATTGTTGCTGAATGATTCTATGGGCATAGCTAAGCCCAGGAATATCTATAGCTAGTTTTTGCTGTTGTTTTTCTTTACATTTTCTCTCTTATCCAAAAGAATAAAAAATAAAAAAAAATTGTAACATGAACCACATGTTATTAAACTCGATTCAGTTATCAATCCGGTCGAGGTACTGGGTTACTGTCAATCCGGTCGAGGTATTGGATTACTGAGTCACTGATTCAATTATGGGTTACTCAATTAATGGGTTACTGGTTGAAATGTATGACTATGTAAGTATATGTAAATTTATAATTTATTTTAAAAAAAAATCATAGACATTCAAATAGCTATAAAAAATAATATCAGTTTTAAATATTCTAATATAAAAAATTGATCCCACTCTAATAACTTCGAATAAATTAAATACATGTATTAAGATACGATGGCTGATCCATTTTTTTTCATTCCCCACATATTTTACCGAATTATACATCATTGTTCAACAAATTATCAATAATTAAAATTTAGTGTCAAAGAATTATATATATAGGGGCAGAATATTCTTACACTGGTCTAAGAGTTAGAAGTCTTACACTCAATATTGACCATTGATCCACTTGTATCAATGGCTCACATTACTAAAAAATTTGAGCCCTTAGATATAATTGGGATCAACGGACAAGATTGAGAGTGTAACTTACACTAGTGTAAAATGATTCTGACCCTATATATGTATATGTATATGTATATGTATATGTGTGTGTATATATATATATATATATATATATATATATATATATATATATATATATATATATATATATATATGAGCTTATCGTTTCTCAAGCTGCCAGAGATAACTTTATTTCCGGCTACTAAATCATAACCGTACAAAGATGGATCAATGGTGATAAAGGAAGAGAGAAAAAAAAGAAAATCATAACCATTCAAAGATGAATCAATTAATATAAGAAAATAAATAAACAAAAACGTAGTTTTGAAGTGGCTGAAAATAAACTTATCTCAAGTTGTCGGAGAAATATTTCTCCAATGTATATATATATATATATATATATATATATATAAACCAGCCCATATCCTAAAATCAATAGTTTTACACTAACCAAATTATATTGTTTGGGCTAGTTATTGAAATTAGCCTGGATCTGCATGTCGTCAAGCCCATTAGATATTTGCAGTTTGCACTATTTTGTTTTGTTTGGCAGTAGTTAAGTTGAGCATATCTAGACCACACAGTCCACAACAAACATCCCATGAAGCAGTAGTGTTTGGTTTCCAAAAGGACAAAAAAAGTAAATAAAAAAGAAAAGAAAAAAGAGAGATGTACGAAGTGGATGACGCAAATCACAAATTTCAACCGTTGATGATTTTATAATCAACAGCCAAGATCACTCTTCCCACTTGCAGCCAAAAAGACATAAATCACACCCAGCCAAAAAGACACTGATAGTTTTACTTAGTTTTGTGGCATTGTTGGTTCCTACATGAGATTTGCTTGACCCTTCTAAGCTAGCATGGATTGTTAGTTATATTTTTGCCTCTGCTTCTGTGAAAGTTCAGGAGCTTGGTTGGTGGTCGCGATTCACGTTTTCTTCTTTGCTGGGAGTAGATCTGCTGTGTGTTTTGCCATTTCCATGGTCTAGACTTCAGATCTAGACTTTTATTTTCCTCACGATGTCGTCTTTTTTTTTTTTTTTTTTTTTTTTTATAAAAAATATACATGACTCAACAGGTTCAAATTCAAACCGACCGCCTCACTGATTTTTTTCAAAAAATCGACCGGGCCACATCAGATATACTACTTAATCGATCCAACATGAAAATCGAAGCAATTATATGATAGATTCACCGGTTTTTGGATCGACATGGCCGAGCCGATCCGATTTTTTCAACACTGATATGAACTATTAGATTTAACTAAGAACAATGAGTAGTAACATAGGGATAATATATATATATATATATATATATATATATATATATATATATATATATGGGATTAATGTTTCTCATATTATAATAGATAATTTTATTTCCTACACATATATAGAAGTATGCGGGGCTTATATTTTTTGTTTTTCTCTCTTCTCTTTACTTGGCCCCATATAAGATTGGAAACATTAATCCACACACACACATGATACCGATTATACTTATAACTGAAAACTTTTACTACTAAATTAATTATCGTTAATTTTCGTCAATCTGACGGTTATAATTTTTGAGAATTAATAATTAATAAATAAGTGTGATCCAAAAAATTATAATCGTTAGATTGATGGAAATCAACGATCATTAATGTAGTAATATATAGGGAAATACAATTGTCCCCTACAACACGAAAATTGTTCTCTCATGTCATAGATCCATTGATTTTTGTGATTGAGTTTTTTATTAAAATGGGCCCCACTTAATCTTCTCTCTGCAGGAATCATCTCCCCCCTCCTGCAATATGATATTCGACAAGCTCATGTATATAGGGTTAATGTTTATCATGTTATAGGAAATAATTTTACCTTCTACACACATATAATATTATAGGGGGCTCATGTAAAAAGAAAAAAAAGATGAATCTCATATATTTTTATGTGATGTATAGGAAATAAAATTATTTTCTTGAGAAACATTAACTTTTATATATATATATATATATATATATATATATATATATATATATATATGCAATAAACAAACTGTTCTCATTAGTTTCATCCTAAATTCTATTTTGGAACAATGAAGACCAGATTCTGTTGAGCAATGGAAGAATGGAAGTGAAAACATGCGTATTGTGTTGTTACCTCTTTTGGACAAACTATAATCCTCCCTTCGTCAGTAAAATTTTAAAAATGATATCATGATACATAATAGTAAAAATGGTACATTTGAATTAGGAGTGTTCATTAACCGATCCAAACCGAGCCGAAAAGCCAAAACCAAAACCAAAACCAAAAAATGCTTGTATATTTTAATTGGATTTGATAAGTTTTTGATTTGGTTGGTGAAAACTGCTGATTCAATCCAAAGCGATCAAATGTATTATCCATTTATTATTTTTGAAAGATGGTGACTTGAAATCTTGTTGTTTTGTAGACTTTGAATCTTGGATATTATTGATAGCAAACTATTTTGTTTTAGTTTTTATTGTCTATTAATCTATTTTAACTCTTCATGAGTTTTAAGACTTGTTTTAGTTTGAAACTTGAATTTTTCAGTAGTTTGTAACTTTGAATGACTTTATTTTGATATAGCTAATGATTTGTATTGCTGAAATTTTAGACTTTTTGAAAAATCGAAAACCGATCCAATCTAAATCGTATAAAATTGGATTGTATCGAATTTAAAAAAATACAAATCGAATGAATGATTAAATGATCTAATCGAAGGGCTTGGATCATATGATTTTTACTTCAAAATTGAAAATCGATCTAATCCATATCACGAACACGACAAACTTAAATAGCAAAAAGAAGAAGAAGAAGCGGTACACACTACTCTTTAGAAGCAATTTTATGTATGACACTTTATGATAAATGGTATAGCGAATTTAAAGAGTTTTTTCTCTATCTTTTTTGTGAAAACTTCAAAAATTCTCCTACGAATTTTCTTAATTATCACTTACTTTTTTCACAATTTTTTTGAATCATTTACACCTTTATTTAGATTTTTTTATCACTTATCCCTTTGACTTAAAGTTTCTTTATCACTTACCCCCTCACTTAGGGAGTAAATTATAAACAAACTTTAAATCAAGGGGTAAATAATTCAAAATTATAAGGAGGAGATAAATGATTATGAAAAAAGTTAGGGGACCATTTTTTGGTTGAATAATGGGCAGATAAATTTATCTTTGTTGAATAATTTATCCAGAGATGCGATAGTTTATTCTTCATGATGTGTTTGGCGCTTATAATATCATTTTGCGGGACCACTCAATCAGGCAAAGCAAGTTGGATGCAGACCCCTAATGTGCCATTATTTTTCAGCCATTCTGCAAATCGGATTAATGTGCTGAAAATTAGATATTTGAAGGCTCTACAGATCCCTTGCCAAGAAACCAATTCTCTACTGTACAATGATTTTCACTATAATTACTATTCTAAATAAAAAAAAAAAAAATGCTAGCATTTTGCTTACTACATCTATCTACCTATAAAGCAAAAATACGGCAGAGCTGTGCATCAGAGAAATTTGTTCTCAAGCACTTTTTTGTCCTAAGGCACTTCACACAATCACTTGCCAACTCCAACCACCAAAAAAGCACTTCTATACAATAGAATCAGGATAACTATAATTGCATATCAAAGTTATCGGAATTAAATACAGCTGTCAAATAGCCGATTCTGAACCCAGTATTGCTCACATAATCATCCCTGCAATTGAGTGTTTTCACAAGCCGTGCTTCAAATCCAATCAACCTTTTAGGAAATAAAGACTCAGCAGACAAATGTGATGGTTCCTTTTTAGTTGCAACTACATTAGTTGTTCGCTTGTAAGAACCAAACCACTTGGCTTGCATGTACCCATTCCTCCTCCATGGAGGTATGTGCAAGTCCATTCTTTTCATGGAGCATTTAATAGCAGTGCACATGAACCTCACAACCCGCTTGAGCTCTTCCACTTTACCAACAAATATCAGTGGGAAAACATCTAGCAAGGAAGAATATTGATTTGTGGGACGACCTATTTCATACTCAGCAGAAAGGGACACTTCAACTATGTAACGTTTTCCCGAAAAATTGACATCAATGTATTCATAATCACCCGCTGTTAAATTTCCATTTTTCTCCCACTTGGATTTGCAAAGCCCTGTGCAAAGAGGATATAGAATTCATTAAAAAAAGAAAAGAAAGTCCCATAACTTGATCATCATTTCGATATAGAGCAAATAGCAAAGCCTATTTTGGAGCAATAACTTGAATGCTATAATAAAAAATAATTATAAGGAACATAGTAGCATGTAATTGTTACTCACCAGCATCAAAACCTATCTCCCGCAACCGAGACATCAAGCGGCGTTTGAATCCGGGCAAGGAATATTCCCCAACAAGTCCACATGCAAGTTCAACCTCTCTCCTAATTTTTTCTTTCGCGTCCCTTTCATCCTCGTCATCAACTTCATTCCCAGCAAACAAACCCTGCAACATTTCCCTCGTCACTGATTTTTCAACCTCTTCTTCATCACCCTTTTCTTGATCTTCATCACGTTGAAGAACAACACCCACATCTTCTCCTTCTCCTTCTCTCTCGTTCTTCTCCATGAAAGACTTCACGAGATCAGACAAATCGGTTAAACTCTCTGGCGAGTGCTCGCTCCCGCTACTCTCGCAGAGCTTCACACGCGCCACATCAGCGTCAAAAGCCTCTGCCACCCTCTGAAACCTCCCTGAAATCCTTGCCATGTCTAAAAGCATCTCTTTCTCTATTGTGCGTTAGAGCTCAAGAATATATATATATTATTGGGAAAGTAATGATGGGGTGAAGCTATGTCTACATATGTCGTTAAAATGGTGAAATGGTGTTTACATTGAAGGACGATTGAGAAGAGGGAAATGGCGTCATATTTATAGATAATGTTGAATAGTATGTAATTGCTTCACTTGTGGGACTCTGTGCTGTAGAAATTACAGCATTAATGTAGGACATGCTAGACTCATTTTGCGCAATTAACATAGCCTCTAAAAGCGTCCGGGTACGTGAGTCAAATGTTGTTTGAAGAGGAAAAAACAAAAACAAAAACTGGCGTATTACTCTGAGACTAAAATATTTACTAAATTTTTTTATCTAAATATACGCGAACATTGTTATTTCTCAATCTGTCACGGGGACAAGTTCGCTACCCAGTATAACGAACTCGATTTGTTGACGTGTCACGTTTTTAGTGGACACCAAGTTAACTTGGTTAAAACCAAGTTCGCTACCCAATGTAGCAAACTCCATACTTTTTTTTTTAACTTGGTAACAAACTTGCTCCGTGTCAGATCGAAAAATAACATTGTTCACGTAACATTTTGGTGAATGTTACTATTACTCCGTGGTACGCGATTAAGTGCAGCCAAAACTTTTTTATGCCAAATTAGACTCTGGTGAACTTATCTAGCCTCTTAAAGCGTCCGGGTTCGTGGATCAAATGTTATTTTTAACAAAAAAAAATAAAAAAATTGCCATTGGCATATTACTTCGTATTACAGTATTAAGCGCCGTCAAAACTTCTTACATGCATCACACACACAATTATTCTAATTTATTAATCACAAGAACTATTTGATATAAGTGGTACCAAAACTACCAATGACTAATAATCTACTTTAAATTAATGTACTCACTCTTTAAAATGATGTGACTTCTTCTCCTTTAAATAGCACTTTTTTTAAATACTTTATTTTATTTGACGTATCATCATTGTGAAAATTCTTTTTCAGATATTTACATATGATGTTATATTGTTCTAACTATTTACATTTATTTTTTCATATCTTTTAATCTATATCATCCAATCATTTCATTTCATTTCAAAACTTAAAATATTTAGAAAATAACAAAAAAATTAGGAAAAAAAGAATAAGTTATCTTTTTATTCTAAATTATAATCTAATTTATTTAGAGGGGTTTAATTTCTTAGTTCATTCTACTTCAAACATTTTTCTTTTCAATTTAAAATTTAATTCTTATGAAATAATTAAGCATATATTTATTTTGGCTTTAATGTTTCTACAGTTAATGTAGATAAGTTATCTACATTTACTTCTAAAATAATATCATTTGGGATTGAAATATTAAAAAATTATAATGAGAAAGACTATTATAGTCTTAAAATAAATTATAATTACAAAAATATCTTGATTTTCGTTACAAAATGATGTCATTTTGAACTCAATGTAGATAAATTATCTATATTAACTGAGAAAAAAGAACTCATTTATTTTAGGTTCTATTTAAATTAATTATACATATCTTATTTATTATTTTAATTTGTAATTAAATACTTAATTTTTTTAAATTTTCTTAAAAATTTAAAAATATTCGTAATATACGAAATATTTATTAATTTTATTAAATCTAAATTAAATAAACGGTGAGTTGAACTCCCGAGAGAAAGAAAGTGTGGGCCATCATCGGTACTCTCAGTCAGCAACATAATTTGGCCAAGTGTAAAACTTTTCTACTCAAATCCACCTCATCTCGTGGTTCTTCAAGATATCTTCATTGTTACGTATGTATCGAGTTTTTTGTATATTTTTTTTTATTTAAAATATGATGTGTCTTATTTTTATTTAAATTATTAATAAATAATTTATTTTAAAATTAGTGAACGAATAAATAAAAAATAAAATACGTATCACATTATTAATAAAAAATATACCAAAAATTCGGTGGACCCGTCCCATTAATTTTTTTTTTTCGTTTTTCTTCGTTTCCTTACATTGCAATGTGGAAATTGGGCGCTGTCGTGTTTGTCTGAGTTCTGGTGAGCACCGTTTTCTGTTATAATGTTGTGTTAAAATGCGACGAGGTTCAATGAATCACAATTAAGTGTCTCCATTCATTGAATCTTACTCAGATTTTCTCTCATGCGTTTCTTCTGGTAGTGTACGGCAGCCTTTCTTTTTTTCTAAAAAGAAATTGGTTATAACAATTTTGAAAAAAAAAGTAAAGTGGATTACCACAAACTGAGAAATGAACCCTCGTGTGAAAAAAAAATTAACATAGTTATACTAAAAGATTATAATCATATAAAGATGAATCAATAATTATGATTTTATAATTAATTATTTCAATATAACTATTTATTTCAATATTTTTTTCTCCATTTTTTTTAACATAACAAGATCCATATACCACGAACGTAAATTAAATGGCATAGGTTATTCTAATTTAATTAATGATCTTGAATATAATTTTTAAGTATGATTTTTTTTTTTTTTTTTAGTAATTTGTGGCTAAAATTGGAAATTTGTTAGTTAATCAATAAATCAGTATAAAAATAAAAACAATAAAAAGAATGGTCTCTAATGTCATATTTTTATTTAATTTTATTTATAAAAAATCATTTCCTTAAATGTTAGACTTAAATTTCAAAACCTAAGTAAATAAAGGAACTAAAGAATAAAGCACATGTATAATGTACACATACCCGATACCCCAGTCTAAAATCCCCTAAGACCCGATCTTTGACCAAAACTTATAACGATGCTTACAAATGACTTCAATAAAAAGATCATTAATAATATTCAAACTGAAGAGTTTTTACACTATAAATTTTTGTTGTAGCAATTAAGTCAACTTCCATTAGCAACACTATTTTAGTTTACATTGAAATTTATTTGCACTCATTCCTTGGCCTCACAATTTTTGGAAGGGAATAAATTAGAGTAATCATAAATATTCAAATATGTTGGGATTTCTTCCATTAAAAGTTTAACTCATACTCAAATTCCCATATCTTCAGACAAATTATTTTTATAAATAAAGGGTTAAACACAGATTTTCTGAATTTTACTCCTGTTTAATATCATTATGCACACACACCGTTCATTTGACTTCAAGTATATACAATAATTTGTCACCCATTATAACGATATCTTCCAGTAAATTCCGTGAACATTGGATCAAAAACAATCCAAATTGGACTAAAAGAAATAATTTTATGCAAAAAAGAGCAAGCATGATAAAATAGCACAAAGGATGCATACGACCCAATCCTTAACCTTACGGCTGTGTTGGGTCAAATGGGTCATTGGAAAAGCTGGGCTGTTTCTATATACCATGTACAATCTTGGGAACATTCCTTCATCATCTGCTTCTAAAAACAATGGTGAATCAAGTTCAGGTTATAGTAACCGTCCTTTCATGTCTGAATCACCCTAAAGGGTTCTACTATAAATAGAAACTCTTATAATAGACGAGCTTTTGAGCCGTTGATTTAGTCTTTTTTTTTTTTTTTTTGATAACAATTTAGTCTTATCCTCTACTTAGTAGCAACATTATTTTTTAAAAGTAAATTGTGAAACAATTATTTTTCTTTTAAATTAAATAATTCATAGTAAGCACATAAAAAAATTTGCCAGTGAATTTATGGAATAGTTTTTATTTTTCTACAAAAATTCATTTTTATATCATCATATTAAACTTTTATTTCTTTTACTTATTTGCCCTATTCTGGTGCATATCTCACATACAAGTTCAAATAAAGAAGAAAAAGAGAAATTAAGAGGCAAGATTAGGAATCATAATTTGGATTGACACGATATGACATGAATTTAATATGAATTTATTCAACACAAACACGACACAAATTTGAAAATGGGTCCAAACTTTCAAGACGAACACAACCCATTTATTTTGTGAATTGACACAACACGACACGAATAACCTGCAGTGAGTCACTTGTTATGCGAGTAAAAATAATATGACACGACACGAATAAGTTGTTGACATTAAAGTATGCCTCTTATTATGCGGATTGACTCGATACAACTTGGATTGTCGTGACATGACACGAATAATCTTTAAGAAAATTAATGCCGTTCAATTTCATGTTTGCGAGTTGACAAGCAATACGACACGAATTTTAAAGAGTTAATCCAAACACAAATTTTTCATGTGTTTTAAAAATTGTCACACCTTGACAAGACCAAATCCTTTATGCTATGAATGGTTAAAATTCCACTAGATAATTTATGAAATACTTACATAATTAATTTGGCACAATGAATAAATAAGTTACTGATATATTATAATTAATAATGCACTAATAATTTATTTACACAACAATTTCTTTTGGATTGATTTCATGTATGAATGTGTATCCAAAGTATTTACAGTCAACTTATAGGTGCATCACATGTGTATTGTAAAATCTCCAGGCTAATTATAACCAAAACGAGTTATATATTTTAAGGATTAATGTTGCTCATGTTGTAGGAGATATATAATTTTACCTCTTACACATACATAAAAATGTGTGGGATTTATGTTTTTTATTTCTCTCTTTTCTCCTCACATGGCCTTATATGGGTTTCGCATAATTTTGTGTGTGTATAGAAGATAAAATATCTCCAACAATATGAAAAACATTAATCCCTATATTTTAACGTAACAAGGTGATCAGAACCTAACATATGCAAGATAGAGGTCCAATCCAATAAAGGCCCACAGAGGCGTAAGAACCATCATGTACAAACTGAAGGAATCTCGCTTACTTGGCTAGCAAGCCAAAGTGACTTAACATGAAAGAAGACATCATGAACGGGAGCAGCATCTCGGGCAACTTGACCGCCAGTTGAACCTAATGAACGAACAAAAGCACCAACTTGCCACTACATCTACGAAGACTAGCCTAACCACAGGCTTCACGACCAAGGAATAGCCTGTGAAAGGTTGCCTATCTCCACCAAATGAA